TTGAACGTTGTACAATACTATGCTTATGCGCTTCTTGACGGAACGAAACGCTGTGCTGCATGTTGATAGTCCTAGTGGTGCTGCATTACAGTTCGACCTTATTGAAAGTAGTCGTTTGTGACGGTGCTGTAAGGAGTAGCCTCTGACAAAGTTGATTAGTGTACGGTCCTCTTGTTCTAGGGAATTATGGGTCGTTTTAAACTCCTTGCTTGCCTCAAAGGAGGGAGCTGACGGTGAATATTGTTATGATCGGTCAAATTTCATTAAAATTCACATAATCCAGTCTTCTTTAGATCAAGGAACTTGCTGCTGTTGGAGACATCTACAATCTCGTTGTAATTTTTTGAAAAAATGCTAAGATCTTTATAAATTAAGGGCAATAATGGCGGTACAATAGTGCAAAGTATGAGTGTAGTTTCTGCGCATTCGCACGGCGTAATCGTACGTTGCGTTGCTTCTAGCGACCTATGGAGCCCTTTAAGCAGGGTATGACTTCGTGGAATTGGAGTACCTGCAGCGCGTGGGTGCAAGTCCGTAGACATCGCTGTGGTACAAAACGCTTTTCTGTTGTATTCAGAAACTAGCTTTTGTTGTTAAAACCAGAATATTATTAGTAGTTTCTGTTTACAACGTTGGAGCAGCGTTTTAACGATGTTAACGATTGACTGAACATCTGCATCGAAAGTGTTGCCGCTTTGTATTTGATGGCGTGACGGAGTGTCAGCAGTTGCCTTTCGCGGCGTATTTCTTGACAAATTGTACAAATGACAGTATTTCGACAACAATCTCCAGTCACAGTTGTTGTTGTTATCACCAGATAAGGCTAACAAAGCTTGAAGAGCAGACTAGGCGCCTTATCCTGATATAAACTAGTCGCAAAACTCGACTCATTAACAAGAGTTAGTTTTGCGTACAACTTGTTAAAATAACATATTCTCTCATTGTCCTGGATTTACATGGCGCATCTGCACCACTGCTTCTGACGGCCTAGAAGACAGTTGAAACACATATTTGAGGGGTTGAATTGAGAGGACTATTACCGTCCAGGTTAAGTTAAAAAGCGGAAGGAATTTTTGTATTTTGAACGGGTCTTCCGCCGCTGAACACCGCATACTAAAAAACCACGTCATCGTCCCTACTGAAGCCAACTGACGGAAATGAAAAATTTGTGAACCTATAGCTGTGGAATGGACAAAATGGAAATTCAGCATGTTAGACTGAACTTCCAGTGATCGAGTATGGTTTCCCATGCGTAATTTAATTACGATTTTAAGAGCGCAAGGTTAGATCAAAATTTCCCCAGTTGTATGTGGTTTTTTCTGCTTTGCTCTCTCCACTGCTACGCTATAAGAAACTTCATTTCTTGCAGTGCCCCTGTTGAATCCATCCATCTTCATTTTTTTGGAAGCATTCCCTTGACGTTTAAAAATACTTTCTGTCTTTATCCTTGTGTTGAAGATGAACATTTTGCAAATAGTCCTTCAACTTCGTTGAATTCATGGAATCTTTAACGAAGCTTTGCTGCAAATAACATCGAAACCTTTCTTCTCCATTGGTCATGACGAATATGAATCCATATTGAATACTTGAATGATCGTACCCTGTTTTTTGACATTCATAAAGGACTCTAAAATGTCTGAGTAAAAACCGAAAAATGAAATATACCTATAAATGGGATATTTATGCAGATAAAAGTGAAATTGTTTATTTTTAATTTAATCTGTGGCATACAATGAAGTCTGATGTCCTGTAGATTATAAACAACCTGTGGAATTGTAGTTTGTAGAAAGATGAGTATTCTAATAGTTGCGGCCTGTGTTCCCAGTTCCTCTCCATCCTGAAACTCTAAAATTCCCACCCCTCCCCGGGAGAGGGGGAATTCACCCTGGTTGAGGACCTCTGTATCCGCCATGACTGAGCGTAATTTAGCTTTCCTCATTCTTGTGTCAGTTACGTTTTTCGCCGTTCAACCGACCGTTTGCGTATGCGGGGTTGTACATTTTAGTAAAGCTGTTTCTCTCTAACTTTACTAGACCGACCTCTTCTTGCTGATTTTAACTTTCTTTAGCCATATCACAATCATGTAGCTATTATCAGCGAATGCTACCTCTGAAAAATCCGCGATCTAAGTTCTTCTCTGTTATCAATCTCATTAATGAGAGCCGGTGATTTGATTGCAGGTTCTTGAGAGAAAGATGGTGAATTTGGTCTGCCTTTCAGTCTCCGTTGATCATTCTCCGATTCGGAGCTTCTGATGGCCGGGGATTTTTGTGTGTGATTGACATGCTGCTCCACTTTTGTCACAATAGGATGCGATGCTGTTGACACATAACCTCCCCCTTGCTCCATAATCCTCCGCCATCGTAGTTGCTTCGACAGGCGTCATCGTAGTTTCTCTTTGTGAATAGGCGACACCATGGAGAAAAGGTTCGTTGAAACTGAAATCAAACGGATCTTTTTCGCTACCCTAAATTATTCCAGTACCAGGGTTATGAATGGACATCGCTTTTCTAGAAAGCGATGCTCATTACGGTACGGCAAAGACGGTAGAAGTAGTCTGAAATCACTGAAGTTGCAGCAGTTCTTAAGGATGACACATTTCAGTTTTCAGTTGTCGGTTCCGAAATTTGCGTTGATGTCTCCCATCGACGAGCTGACTAGATGTAGACCGTGGTTCTTTTCAAAACTTCATCTCCTTCAAGACGAATTTGTAATGTGTATGCAGATTGTGACCGCATACGTTTGCTCTGGTGGCAGTGCTCGCTCTTTGTTTGAGGTTTAGCATGCGAAGATATTCACTCATGCAGATCAGCTCGGCAGCGCGCTTTGTCAGACGGAATTTCATGAATATTCGGTCCCTGTTTGTTTCTGACATGATCTGACGAGTTTCATATCTGAAAGACTCACTGTAACGGCCAAAAACCTTGAAGTTGCGGTGCTTGGTAGAAGATATTACATTAGATCCTCAGTTGGTAGCGATCTGCTTCTTTAACTCGCTTCTGGTCGGAAACCAGTCACCAGTCTGCTGATTTTCACTTGACGTTTTTGATTATACCGAGAACGTTGTGAGAACCTTTTCGATTTTTGTGTTACTTCCAAATGTTGCTTTACATCACTAGTCGGTCCACTGACAGGATGAGCTGGCACCTGGTAACGTCCGAACAAGACAATCGACTCTTATGCTGTTTGTGTATGTGTATCCTATTTAACCTCACTTCTCTCGTTACAAGTGCATCACTATTCTTTTGAGACGTTGCTCTCGATTGTCAAAATCGTTCAAAAATGTACCAGAAAAAGCCACGACCCCGGCACCGAGAGCTCATCATCCAAATAACACGAGGCCACTGTACTACACCGGGCTTCGCCATATGCACAGCTGACTCATTACATTGAGATGTAAGGCCCTTACGGATCTCGCACCAGATTCAACGATGATTGCGTACTCTCTGAATTCAAACTAAGAAATCTAAATAGTTAAACTGTTTGTGAACTTTAGCCCAAACCATTTTCTTAATCCCTTTGCAACTTCTTTTGAAGAACACCTGCAACTTTGAAAAGTATTGCTGGCACTCTGACAACTATCAGAATGATGCAAATTATACTTTACAGATGAATCACTTTGTTTAAGATTCAGATGCGTCTCTTGTTGACCAGTACAGAGCACGATCATTTTTTGGTTGGCTTAACCAGATTACAGCAGTTCAATGCACTTTGTCATATACTTAGCGCTTTTTTATTCCATACGGGAGCCTTCCAAGGACGAGTTCTTCGATGTTCCAGCCGGCAGTGCCATCATAATCTTCATGATACGAAAGTTTTTTCTTAGGCCTGCGGGCCAGAGGTCCTGAGTTTAAGACTCAGAAAGGTCACTCGCATTACCTTCTTTCGTGGACATGAGTATCACTCCTTTGAAGGGAAGTTTAAAGGTGGTCATATAGCTGAAGACATAGTCGACAAAAATAGTAATCTCATACTCCTGGCTGACGAAATAGAGCCGGAGACTGGCACAGCAACATACACTCTGTGAAAGAAGGGTGCCGCAGATGGCACTATTATGAAAATTGTGATGAAGACCGGCATCCCAACGGTCGCAAATTTTCCTAAATTTTCCTCCTTTTTTCTTTGAGGGAGGAGTTAACGTATTTGTATATCGTCTCAGTTTTT